CTGAGCTCAGCAGGTTGACACTTGGGTGGCTGTGAGCAAACCACTGCACTCCATCTTGGCTGACAGAGACTCCAACTTAAAAAAAAAAAAAGAAATACAAAGAATTGGACATCCAATATTCTTGGAAGAAAAATAGTATTGTATAAAATGTTTTCTATTTGTTTACAGCCCGATAAAGAAGATACATCTAAGCTCATAATAATGAAAAATCCTTATTTCATCCCAGAGGAGCAAATTTAATATTTTTTTCAGACAAGCAATCATTTTTGTTCATGTGTTTAGTTATATGACCCCTTTCTGGTTTCTTTCTTTGGAATGACAAATAGCCAGCTCCACCCAGGAACTAGATGGGATCCCAGTTGATATGGAATTTGAGTTTTTTCTTAATAGATGTAAAAGATGGATAGTAATCAATAGTGCCCTAAATATCTGGAAAGAAATGCAAAACTCTGAAAAAAATCCCAAAATTTCCAACAACAACTTATTACATAGTGTAGATAAAATGTCTCAGAACGACTGATTTCATTTTTCTTCAGCTCCCCTAGAGATAATCTAGACCTGTTCCGAAGATGAATCTACATTATTAAAATAGAATCAAGCTAAGTTCTCTCCAAAAGATGATGACCTTTCTCACAAAGAGAATCTCAGGAAAATCTACAATAAGTTATTCACATCTCTTAAAGTTTGTATTCATCTTATTAAAGTTATAAAATTTAATAAACTATGTACTCCTCGAATCTTTACCGTTCTAATAATTCATGAAACATCATTTATTTTTGTATGATACGATTTATTTTCTCTTCTTCGTGGTCCACAGACAAAGTCTAATTGGAGCAAACATCAAGTCTAAGTCCCGGGTACCATGAGTCATGTATCTCTGCTTTGAATTTGGGCAATTCTCAAATTCAATTCACCAACATTTATACTTTAATTGTGCATTTGTTATGCCTGGGCACACTGCCAGTTCTTATGAGAGCAGAGCATGTAAGTCACAGAGCTGGTTCTCAAGTAGTTTAGTGCCTAGGCAGATAGAGGTACGCATACCAAATATTCCACTAGTCACCAGTAAAAAGAATTATCATGAATCTATAAATAAAGAGAATCAAGAAAAGGAGAATTTATTCTATCGGAAAGATCAACAAAAGGTTCAGAAATAAGGTGATCATTGAGTTCAGCCAAGTCAATCCAAGAATACACTGGGCCCACCACATAGAGATTTTGAAAACTAAGATAAACTATATATTTTAAAATGAGAAACTGGCAGCAGTTAGAATGCACTTGTCACCCTCTCCAATGACAACCCTGCACTTTGCGTCTGTTTCTACTCTGGTAGTTTATCTTATAAGAGATTTCATTCCAGGTATATCACTCGGGACAGAGAGGGTCTTAGAGCAGATCACAGTCATATCGCCTTTGAATTCCCAGTGCCAAGGCAGGCACTAGCATGCAGTAGACAAAGTTTCTTAAAGGAGTGAAGGGACTGAATATTTTAATAGCACTTTGTAAAGTGAATCAAATTTTCTAATCTTATCTCTTGTTGCAAGTCGAGTCTTTTCGTTCCCAGATGGCTATGGCTTCTCCTTGGTCTCATTTTGAGCTGGGTCAGCTAAGGGGAGAGTGGGCTCAATGTAGATCCCTAGTGACCATGGTTATCTCCTTTGTGCTTGGTCCCACCTCTGTGCTAAGATCCTCACAGATTCTGAATGAGTTTGCACATGTTCATCCATTCCTTTCAAGGCGTCCTGAAGATATGGAAGGAACGTCTTTTCTCTATGTTTATCTTCCTTTCCTTCCTTCCTCTCTCCTTCTCTCCCTCCCTTCCTTTTTTTTTTTTGAGTTGGTGTCTCCCTTTGTCACCCAGGATGGAGAGCAGTGGCACGATCATGGCTCACTGAAGCCTTAAACTCCTGGGCTCAAGCAATCCTCCTACCTCAATTTCTCAAGTAGTTGGGCTGGGACTACAGACAGGAGCCACCACATCCAATTAAATTTAAAAAAAAAAATTTTTTTTGTATAGATGGGATCTCTCTATGCTGCCCAGTCTGGTCTCGATCTTCTAACCTCATGTGATCCTACTGCCTTAGCCTCTCCCAGTGTTGAGATTGCTGGTCAAGCCACCCCACCCAGCCTTATGTTTAACTTTCTAGGCGGTCTTTTCCCATCGCCATCACTGAGTAGAGCCAAGTTTAAGATCACACACACACACGCGCGTGCGTACCCCTCTCCATGACGCACAAAGACACTAGCGTGGGCACACAACACACAATAACAAAGGTGTAAAAGGAGACCAAAGAAATTAACTGGGATGTGAAACCTAATAGAAAAATACGGTCTGAAATGGACAAAAAGTGAAAATAAGATAGTCAAAACATTTATCATTGCTCCCTGTGAAATCACCTCCTATCACTTCATAAGTGACACTGGAATTTGCTTATTTTTTTTACCTTAGTACTTTATTACTTGTGTCTAAGTTTATTTTTTGCTTCCCAGATAATTAGCATCTTACTCGTAAATATCTGACTCTAAATGTTATCTCCTTAAGCATTTCATAACTGTATTATGATATTTTATTATCCAGCAATATACGTATCATTTTATAATGGAAGATAATGAGGGAAAGCTATTTAAGTTTCTAGAAACTGTAGTTTGTAGTTACACATATTATAGAAAATAAATCCATTTCATTTAAGGCAAGGAGAGGTGGAGACAGCCATCAGACCCCATCAGATAAATTCATGTATAATCTTGAAGAATGGCTTTCAAAGCAGCTAGAAGAGTTGGAATGTTCCCAACACAAAGAAATGATAAATGTGTGAAGTGATGGATATGCCAATTACTCTAATTTTTTCATTACACATTGTATGCATGTATCAAAATATCACATGTACCTTGTAAATAAAATAATTAAGAAAATCCACTAGGTAAGGTCAATAAAAAGTCTACTTCATTCTGACACAATCTAATTTCTTCCAACTTCTTGATTGGTTGATAAAACAATAGCCTTAAGGGCAGCTTGTTACAAATGCAAATTCTCAGTCGGTGTGGTAGCTCAAGCCTGTAATCCCAGCACTGAAAGGCTGAGGTGATGGGATTGCCTAAACCCACGGGTTCAAGAACAGCCTGGGCAACTTGATGAGACCTCATCTCTATACATTAAAAAAAAAAAAAAAAAAATTAGCCAGGCGTGGTAGCCAGCGCCTATAGTTCCAGCTACTTGGAAGGCTGAGGGGGAAGGATCACCTGAGCCCAGCAGGTCAAAACTGGGGTGGCCATGAGTGTGCCACTGCACTCTAGCCTGGGTGACAGAGTGAGACTCCAACTCAAAAAAAAAAAGAAATGCAAATTCTCAGGCCCACCATAGACAGTTGAATCAGAATTTGCATTTTAACAAATGCCACTCCCCCCAGGGTTTGTGGGCATACTGAAGTTTTAGAAGCACTAGTCAACCAGTCATAGGGCTTCACGGAAACTCTATGAAGAGAAATTCTCCCATGAACCTTTACTTTAGTGTGGGTTTCCTTTCAAAGATTCCACAGTCTAATTATTTTCTATATCTTGTCTAAACTTAAATTAATCCTGGAATTTGGTGATCTCCCTGTTTTTCATTTTACAGCCAATCCAGGGATGCTGCATGGATCTGCACCCTCACCTCTGAAGAACCAAGCTTGTCGGGAGAGGAAGAAAGAGGAGAGGAGGAGACATTGACTTAGAGAATTATATGCGAGACTGACAAGCGCTTTTCATTGCATGATGGGGATTTCAACTCCACTGTCACCATGATGCCTTATTCTCTAAGGACTGTCTTAGGCTCCAAGCAACAGAGTAATTTTTTATTGTAGAGATGAGGTATTGTCAAGTTGCCCAGGATGGTCTCGAACCCGTGGGCTCAGGCAATCCTCTCACCTCGGCCTCCCAAAGTGCTGGAACTACAGGCAGGAGCCGCTGCACCCGGCCCAGAGTAATTTTTTTTTTTTTTTTTTTGAGTTGGAGTCTCACTCTGTCGCCCAGACT